TCTCTCTCTCTCTCTCTCTCTCTCTCTCGTGTGTGTGTGTGTGTGTGTGTGTGTGTGTGTGTGTGTGTACATAATTTCAGCTACCCATGGAAGTGAGAAGAGGGGAGTTGGAACTGCTGGAGCTAGAGTTACAGGCAGTAGTGAGCCGCTTGACATGGGTGCTGGGAACTGAACTTGGATCCTCTGGAGGAACTTACTCCCTGTGACTGGGATATCTTTCCAGCACCATGCAAATAATTTGAAAGAAGAATATTTTGTATTTACCCCTTCACTGATTACCTTTTTGTTGTTAACAAGCAAGGTCGGTGTGGTTATACTCATTATCTCCAAAGTATTTTCATTAACCTTTTAGTTATATAAGATTCTACATTTCAGTTTTATGTTTTTATAAATACATGTAAGTGCATGTTTTAAAGATGTTTTGAGGTTACCACATTCAGTTAAATCTAACTGATAAATAGAAGTCAGCCAAGGAAGACGGTTGGAGGAGGGATTTGCACTAGAGTGGGCAAAGTGATCATGGGATTAAGAAATGAGACACACACACACACACACACACACACACACACACTTTCAAAACTAGATTCCACAAATGAGAGACAATATGCAATGTTTTGTGTGGTTCATTTTACTTGACATAGTTCCGCAGATTTTCTTGTGAATGCCATGATTTCATTTTTCTTTACGGCTGAATAAATGTCCATTTATGTGCATGCAAAAAGCAAAAAAAAAAAAAAAAAAGAAATGAGGAGCATGGTAAGGGAGCCCCAGGAAGCAGGAACACAAAAGAAATTGTCTGCGGGGTCACATATTTCAGCCCCCCTCTTCCTCTTTCTTCTCTCTAATGCTAGCTCCTCCAGTACTCCATTTTCCAATCATCTCCAGAGGATTTTTTTTTTCTAAAGCAAAGACCTCATCTCTCATTCATCACCAATAAAAAATGCTTTGGTGAGTTTCACTCCCTACAACCTTCCTTACTGGCCTTTTCAATCCCCAAACCCATTCTCTCTATTCTATACTTTCCTGCCTAGTCACCGCTCTCAGAGACTCCCGTGTGCTCTTCACATTAGCATGTGTTGACACCTCTTTCCAGCTTTCTGGTTTCAATACCATCTGTCGGCCCTTTTGCCCTCATCTCTAAAAGGCTTGCCCTCTGTGTCTGCTTCTCCTCGATTAGCACCTATAATATTATACTCCCATCATTCTATAGCTGTCTGCCTTCTATGCTATATTGAACTTACACCCTGAAAGCCGTGTGTTCAAAATCTAAATGAAGTGAATTTGCCAACAAATAGGAAAGCAGCCAAACAATGATGTCTTATTCTAGTATCAGTTTCTGATCTAGCTACATGAATTCGTGTTCTGCACAAACTTACACTCTGAATGCCTCATCAAGCTTCCTTAAAAGAATTTGCAAACACACAAACAATGGAGAGCAATTAATGCTGCTCTGGACATTCTGAGGGAGTAATCAACAGACAGTGAGCCATGTACATGCCACAACCTAAGACTCCTTATTACATTTTTTTGCCATCTCTTACAGCACCACTTTGGAATTCTCATTTGTAACTTGAAAGGAAAGTTGCTGTAAGATTTTAAAGATACACAAATAAAGTAACTTAAGTGAATCTGTTACATAGCCAAAATCTGTTTCCAGAACTGAAGTCGACACAAATTCTAAGACACCTCACCCTATTTCATTTTTAAGCAGATTGTCCACATACTTAAGGGAAGCAGACATTACTTCACCCAATAATCCAGTCTTTCAGAAACACATAACCCATGTCTCTGTCAGAGAGCATGATGTTAACATAATAACTTTGCAGTGTTCTTTAACAGCGAGCACACAGATCAAGGCTATAAAAGCGAGAGGGACAAAGACATTCCTTAATTAAACACACAGTCATGGATACATCCTGAAAATTCATATACCCAAAGTCATGCGCCAATATAGAATTAAGCTTTTGAAGAGACCTGTGTGAACAAAAGAAAGAGTCTGTACAAATGCTTCTGAAACTCACATCACTGGTGGTTGTTGAATGCTCTCTAGACGATGAGGCATTTGGTGTTCATAAGCAGGCTCAGAGGCTAAAACAACTTAAGCTAGCTGGCCATGCTCTGGGGGCCCTTCAAAGAGCAAGCCCGGCTTTGGGGTTTGATTTTGTTCTCACAACCATGCTGCTCCTCATTCATGACTTTGTGTGCCATTGTGTGAGTACCCTGCTCTGAGGATGGCCACGCTGCTCCTGAGCCCTGTCCTCCATGAGACCTTCCAGCACCACAAACCTTCATTCTGTTCCTCTAGGGTGTGTTCTCTTCCTTCCCTGCCTCAGTGCTTCTAGAAATGAAGCCTTATGGCACAGATTCAAAACCACCACGAATGAGACTTCACTGTGCTTTCTGCTCACCCTGCCTTGGCTTTACCTGTCAGTTTGGGCTCCACGTCCTTATTTATTTATTTATCTGTAAGTCATACATTTCCTCAACTTTTGTCATCACATCCAATAGATAGCAACCTGACGTCCCTATCGTATGAATTATTTGTGAAGTTTGCATGATGCAATGGCTAAGCTTGGGGAGACTGGAAAAGGTAGAAAGCGCTAGGGTCAAAGATAGGTGAGCCATTTCTGAGTAACCTCAGGTGAAGGGTTTGCCTTTTGACTTTTAGTGCCCAGCTGTCAAAACAGATATCTCAGTTTCTTATACATTGTCTTCAACTAATGAATATGGAGTATGTAATACTGTGCCTGATACATAGTTAACAAAAATCTATGATTGTCATAGTTTGCTTGATAACTATACAGGTGATTTTGAACTTACATATTTTATTCCCAACTCTGTCCTAACTGACAGCCCTGCCTGTTCTTGCCCTGAGCTACAACACAGTCAACCACTTACCATAGCAGAAGTCAGCCAAGTGGCTTGACTGCAACAAAATGAAACTATACAACCATCCCATCAGAGACTGACTCTGGAAGAGCTGTGCCACTTTCTGCAAAGGCTACTCTGTGTCTTTTCTGGCTTTGCGATTCCTTATAACAGGGATTTGGTTTTGATCATCATGTATCCACACTGGACATTTGATTACTTCCCTACTACCAGTCCTATAGTTAATGATGCCTCACCTGAATATGTACCTTTTAAAGTTTCAGAGAAGAAACATTAAAACAAACCCAATCTTGAATGTGTTTGAAGCTATATATTCACTATTCTACCATCTTAGAGCCCCACCCCACCCCCACGTGAATTCCATATTGACTGAAAATAACAAATGGGACAAGTACTATTTAGCAAGTGCAGAGAGAAGGAGAGCTACTTCACTGGCTCCACGTATGAAGAACCATCCCCAGATGGACTGTTGTTGAGTGTTTTTTACCTAAGAAAGGAAGCGGAGGTGGAACCAGGTGACAGCCGATGGACAGCACAGCAGTAAAGGATGGGTGTTAGGGAATATGCTTATGAAACATTTTGAAGAAATAGTTCATGGATCTGGTTGATGGACATCGGGACATTTATGCTATTGTTAAACCACATGTCTGCCATATGCATTCTTCTCTTACTCATGACTTATGATTAAATAAGAGATTGACAAGGGCAATAGAAGTAGATGCGCCTAAGTATAAATTTGCTCTGAGTTTGGGGTTTGCTGAGAGCATCAATATATTTAGTTTTAAGGAAAATGACTTCTTCCTTAAATAACTGGAGGCTTCTTTGACCACAAGGGCATTTTGCTTCAAGGGATCTATTAGTTTGCTCAAATAGTTCAAGTGTGACCATGAAAGCAGCCTAAATGGACCAAATGCACAGAGAAAGAACAGGATGTATCAGGGTGTGCATCACTCTGCTTGCCTGGGTTTTCCTCTTTCCCCATAAAAAGCTCCCATAATGAACAAAGTAAAAATTTCAGGACATCTTATAAATAAAATTTTTGGTAAAAAAAATAACTCTGGAAATTGAGTCAATTTAAGAAGGAAGTAATCTTGTAATTTAGCAGGGTTTAGGGTTTTACAACCCAGTTGTAGTGCCTTGTTTTAAAAAATAATTTTTTGAGAAATAAAATACAAATCACAATAGAAATTAGGACAAAAAGTCACAATCTTCTTTGAATATTTTCTTTTTACTCATAAGATACTTTTTTTGGTTTTCAGTGTATATTCATTATACAAAGTGATGTTTCATTGTAACAGTTATACACACACATATATATATATATATATATATATATATATATATATATATATATGTCATGTACTTTGGACATTCAGTGTTCATTATCTTCTTTTGTTCTCTTTTCCTGTTTTGCTGATTTCCTTCCTGCTCCTAAATAGTCCACCTTCTGCTTTTATGTCAGGCACAAATATTTTAATATATATAGATATAGATAGATAGATAGATAGATAGATAGATGATAGATAGATAGATAGATAGATAGATAGATAGATAGATATTCCATATATGAATGGAAAAGATGTCATATCTGCCTTTCTGGGTGTGGCTTATTTTGCTTATGATGATGATCTCCAGTTCTATTGATTTTTCTGGAAATGTCATAATTTTATTTTTCTTTATGGCTGTATAAAATTCTATACATGTATGACACACTTTCTCTAACTATTCACCTGACTTAGGAAGCTATCTTTAAGAAGCTCTTAGCATTGTAGTTTTTACACATATATACAACTTTTACATACCTAGTCCAATATCATAAATATGATTTTATGTTCCATTTTGTCTGTTAAACCGTAAGAATATTTGTTTTTCTCTGGCCTTTTTTCCCTCTCAAACCAAATAGTGATGTAAGATGTTTGGGACAGACAATAGCATTACAAAATGTAACTATCAGAATAATAACATAAAGTTTTCAATTCTTATATAAGTGTATTAGTAAAACTGACATTTACTAATTATTTCATGGAGTGAAATAAAAGCTAAAATGTTTTTTATGTGATTACACATTTTGATTTGGGTTTTTTTCCTTGTTTTTTTTTTCCCCCCCTTAGTATAGCATCTATCTCAGAAACTGGCATTTAAGAACTCATAAAGACCAGTGGTCCTCAAACAGCAGTCTGCGGAGTTCTGGTAGATCCTATAATCACAGCAGCAGCAGCAGCAGAAGAAGAAATAGAAAGTGGCCCAACCAGCCACCCTGCTCTTTTGCTGTGTTTCAGAAATGCTTCTCTTCACCACCGTCTAGCTGTGTGAATTTGAACAAGTTTCTAATCTCTTTGGCTCAATTTCCTCCATCTTCAGTTACATTTGGATTTCATTTGACCATTTCATAAGATTTGGATAAGTTTTAAACAAGCTTATGAATGCTAAGTGTGTAGACGATTCATGAACATCGTAAGAATCCAGTAAGTCCCATTATGAGTGTTGGCAATACAAGACACAGAGGACTACAGTCCACACACACAAGTCAGCAATCACTTTCCTGTGACTCCTGCCAGATACTGATGTGGCTTCTTTTTGGGTCCTGAAACTAAGCAGGTTCTCACTACCCGAAGCAGTAAGAAGCTCTCTTATTTTTATCAAGATCAGTCTACATTATTTACCCTTGAGATCACAAAGGAAAACTAACTGATATACTTCTTAATGTTTCTAAGATATTTCTTGCATGCCTCCCAAGTTTACAAACACTGGTTGAAGAAAACCTTGTATCAGGTTCTGTACTAAATGCTTGATATCATGATCTTACTGAATAAAAAAACTTTTTTCAGTGAAGACGGGTTTTTTATTCTGTCTAGATTACAAAATTCCATAACATTCACCATGGTATTTCTAAGACCTAATTTTGTTATAAAACATAATACATGAGACTTGGAAACAACAAATAAACAAGAACAACAAGTTAATGACTGGCATTTCTTTCCCCTTACTTAAGAACAGTGAGATTTCATGACAGATCTGTTCTTCAACACAAATAGGAAACAGTGGGACGTCGACTGACAGCAGTGTTATTTGGCTTCAGAATTAAGCTCTTAAACAGTCTTACATTGTAGTTCCCAGGAGCATAATAAAACAAATTCTCATAGCAGTACATCGGGACAAATTTCTAGATGTCATTTTTATTGACAGAAAAATAATGTGAGCTCTGTCACTCAGACTTCTCAGGCCGTGATCACTATGCCCATTTACTGTTACTGACCATGACTTTTGGCCTCTGAATAACAAAGGTAAGAGAAAGTGCCAGTAGGTTGTGAAATATTAGTTGAAGATGTGTTGCGTTCATTTATGCTGTGGAGTATTTATTTAATCATGCAAAGATGTGTTACATTCTTTTACATTGCATGTGTTTAACTCTGTGTAGCTGTGTTACTTTGCCTGTCTAAAACACCTCATTGGTATAATAAAGAGCTGGGCAGAAGAGGAATAGGTGGGGCTGCCAGGCAGAGAAAATAAACAGAAGGAGAAAAAGAGGAGGAGGAACAAGGAAAGCAGGAGAGGAGGATGCCAGGGGCCAGCCACCCAGCCACACAACCAGACATGAAATAAGAAGGAAAGAAAAGATATACAGAAATAGAAAAAGGTAAAAGCCCAGAGGTAAAAGGTAGGTGGCCTAATTTAGGAAAAGCTGACTAGAAACAAAGTAAGATAAGGCTGGGCAATTATATGTAAGAAAACGTTTCTGTGTATTTATTTGGGAGCTGGGTGCCAGACCCCCCCAAAGAGCAAAGAGTAAAAGTAAAAAAACAAATCAGCAAACAAAAAGTGAGTACACCAGTAGCTTTTCATGGAGCCATGGGTGGCTTTTTAAATTTTAATTTAATTTTTAATGTTTTAATTGATATAGCATTATATCACTTACCTCCCTTTTCTCTTTCCAACCACCCTCAGCTAACCTGTCTTAAACTCCTTCATGGCCCACTTTCACATTGGTAGCCTCTTTTCTTCGATTAACATTGTTACATACGTGTGTGTGTGTGTGTGTGTGTGTGTGTGTGTGTGTGTGTGTGTGTGTGTGTGTAATCTGATGAGTCTGTTTTTGTCCATGGTATGTATATGGTTTCAAGGCTGATCACCAATAAAGAGGCTCATCATTGAGAGAGGCTAATTCTCCTTGTTCCAGCTGTCATTAGTTGCCTGTAGTTCTTTGTCAAGGGGTGAGACCTGGCACAATTTTACTACTTCCACATTAACACATCCATCGATAGCGCCATTGCTCCAACCTTGTTTGTGCAAACATTTCTAGTAGAGACTATTCCACCACAGACTTACATTCTGGCTCTTACATTCTTTCTACCTCCTCTTCCTCAGTGTTCCCTGAACTTTAGAAGAAAGGACTGTGATGAAGATGTAGCCACTGGTATGGATTTTGGTATATTGATACAAATTTAAAGTTATTTTCATTGCTCTGTACGTATTTTTCCTCCTCATTCTCCCCTCTCCTCCTGAGCCTAGATTTCTCTAGGAGAGAACGAGGGAGAAAGAGAGAGAGACTCTTGGGGCCAGCCAGCCAGGCAGCTGCCAGCCAGCCAGAGACAGAATAGGACACACAGAATGAACGAAAGGTAAAAAGCCCTGAGGCACATCGTAGATGAAGAGAAATGGATTAAATTAAGTTATAAGAGCTAATGGGACAAGCATAAGATAAGGCTGAGCATTCATCACTAGTAAGAAGTCTCCATGTTGTGATTTGGGGGCCGGTGGTCAAAGAAAGCCTGCCACAAAAGATTTTATTTGTTTTTATCTCATGTATGAGCATTTTGTCTGCATGTATGTCTGTCCAGCATGTGTATGCAGTGTCCCAGAGGCCAGAAGAGGGTACTGAATCCTTGAAACTGTATTTAAAGATGGTTCTGAACCACTATGTGTGTGCTGGGAATCAAATCTGGTCCTTAACCACTGAGTGGCCTCTTCAGACTAAATTTCTAGTTCTTGATCCACTCACATACCCTTGAAATTTTAGTTAGCCCTGTTTGGAAACAATCATTGTCAAAGAATCAGGGACCCACTCAGTCTGCACACCAGCAGATGTTTAACATACTCATACAGATCATAATTCTAGTGCTTCAAGAATGCCAGATGTTTTCCTAGAGAGAAGAGGTAGACTCCCAGGTGTTTGGCTGTCCCTCTGATTGGCTCCTTTTATTACACCACCATATGTGAGCAGCTCATTTCCTACTGGAGAATGTGTGTTCAAACCTTGGCAGCTAGGATCAGCGAATGCACATATAAGCTTAGGGCCCATGCAATAACGTGTCCTGGAAGCCTTCCTGTTGAAGAGGAATCTAAATAAAAGGATCAAATAGCAAATGATAACAGACACCCTGATCATGGCACCAAACCCACATGAAGATGAAACTATTGTGTGAAAGTGAGTGCTGAACCCAAGGACCTGTCTCTAAAGTTTTGCCAAACCCCATTCAGTAGTTCTGAGGTCTTGGACAAGTTAACTTCTCTAAAGCCTGGTCTCTGTCTTTATAAAATGAGATGACACTGCCCTCCTGAAGCTTATATGTTAATCAACTGACTCAGAAGATGCGAACACACTAAGGAATGTTAATATGCCAGCCAAATGTAAACTGGCATTCATTTAGGTCATGTTACGTAATCATCTCTCAAAGGAATTTTTTTCTCAATGACTCACTAAGTCTTTTTAAACTTGTTTGGGGTTCTGTTCATGGAAATGGCCATTTCTTAATAGAGATGACACATCTGGAGGGGAGGGAACACAGAACCTAAATGGTCCCAGACAAGTCAGAGCTGCTGTCTTGCCTCCATATCACTGCATTCCATCACTTTCGGTACTTCAAGAATAATTAGCCATAGTACTTCCATTTGACTTCTCAACCAAGAACCTATGTCCAGAAAATCCTAGACTTCTTTCACAACAATGATAAACTACTCTGATTTACATTGTTATTTATTTTTCTGTCTGACAATAAGTCCCTGATCACCCGATCTCAGGACTGGAGACAACCCCCAACTTCCTTCTGTATAATGAAATTTCCTAAGAGGTCCCTGGAAGGTGACTTGGCATTCAACTAATCTCTGTTGTGAACAAAAGTCCTCTAGTCAGAAATAATCAGTCAGGTATGCTAATGACAAGTTTGTGTCAATATTTTATTTAGAAATCAATGTTGATTAACTAATTTATAACCAACATAAGGTTTAACAAGTCTTAAACTATGTCATGCACTTACCCATTTCATGTTTATTGAGGACTCAAACATATTTTGGAATCATATAGTAAACTTATCTTCCATATGAAGATAAATATAAGGCCCCTTTTCTGTGCTCCACCTTCCCAAGAAGGGCAATCATGATAATCCCATTTTTACTGTGGGAGTTGAATCTGGCAATTATTTTCTTATACAAAGCATTGAAGAAAGCCCCAAGTCAGTTGACACAGATTAAGAGCTGGGGGAAAAAAACTCCAAATGAGTCATTTTGATTTTATTCTATATGAAAACCTGTTTGGGGAGGGCTGGAGAGATGGCTCAGCGGTTAAGAGCACCGACTGCTCTCCCAGAGGTCATGAATTCAATTCCCAGCAACCACATAGTGGCTGCCAACCATCTGTAATGGGATCTGGTGCCCTCTTCTGGCCTGCAAGGACACATGCAGACAGAATATTGTATATATAATAAATATAAATAAACCTTGAAATAAAATAAAGAATATTAAAAAAAAGAAAAAAGAAAGAAAACCTGTTTGGAAAAAAAGTGTCTATTCATACAAAATGTTATACATAACTAATAAATTTACATAATCCAAAGTTAAGATAACGTGTGTATTAATTTTTTCATGTTTAGGACAAAATGACCAAAAAAAAAAATCACTTAAGAGAGACAGTGTTTACTGTGGTGCACAGTTGGACAGGGCCTAGTCCCTCTGGTGGCAAAAACATGAGGTACCTTGTCATCACATTGTGTCCAGTCAGGAAGCAGAGAAATGAATCCTGGTGTTCAGCTGCTACTGTTGCTTTTTTATTTTATTTTTCTCTTTTGCTCTTCAGTCCAGAACTACAGTTCACGGGGTGGTGCTGCCAGCCTCATGGGAGGGGCTGGCACTTCAGTTTAAGCCTATTTGGAAACTCTCTCACAGATCCACCTAGAAACAAGTCACCTACATGATTCTTAATCCGATAAAGTTGACAGTCAAGCTTAATCATCACAGATGCATTTTTCTATCTACAACAAAAGCTCTTCTTTTCATCCTGTATTGTGTAGAAGATGTAATTTAGGATCATACACGGTCGTCCAAACTAAATGTGTTTTGCCATATAATTTTGTGTTTTGCTAAGAATTAACTTTTTTATATCAAGACTGCTTTTATGGAAGTTATTTTACCTTCAAATGATTATTAATCAATGTATATATGAGAGGTCAAAAGCACCAAAGTCAGGATTCTATTGGCCCCCAGCTTTGTCATAATATGTAAATGGATGAGTCACTTCATTTTTGTGTGTCTCAAATCTCTCATTTTTACAAAAGGAAATATTGCATACTCATGGCATTATGGCGAATACAAATACCACAATTCTTATGATGAACTCAATGCAGCCCTTTGCTTTTGGTTATAGAATGGCTGGCTATCATTACCATAAAATGATTATGTGAGGACTTACTCATCAAGAACATGACTTAATCATTTTATTCTGATTCAGTAACATATTTCATGTTAACATATTCCAGGGAATTTTTTTATACAGTAATAAAATCCTTCAAGTAATGTGCAAGCAATTTAAACAACGCCCGTGGCTCTCTTTGAAGCTGTGCCTCATAAGTCAGGGAACAATAAATTAACATGAAGGTTAAGAATATGAACTTTGCAGTCATGGGCTTGGGTCCAAGTAATAATATATTATCAATCACTAGCTATGATCATGGACTATACTTGAGGGGAGTAAGAAACAGTCTCACTCTATAATCCAGGTATTGTGAGCAAATGGGGTGGATTGGGAAACAAGATACCCAACCTGATATGATCCAGGAAAGAGCTTTATTGTGCAGGGTTGATACCCACAGGCTCAGCAGACCTCTGTCTAGAAGCTGAATCCCAAGCTCATTCGGCCATCTTTTTCTGTATCCCATTTGTCCCTTTGCCTCCATGCAAGTGTCAGTAATACATAGCCATTTATAACTCTATAGGTTCTTCTAAATATGTTAACAGAGGTTGTGAAAAGTAAGCTGAAGGGCTCCACCCGCTGCAGATTCTACCATAAGTGCAGAGGTGAGAAAGAGGCACCCAGACACAGCATAGGTGTGGAAGGAAGAGGAGAGGAAGATGGTGTGGACCAGAGCCAGACTGAGGCCCATAGAAAGTCTTAGCAGTGAGCTAGACAGGGATTGATGAAGACTTATGTATATTCCTGAAGCTCAGGAGAGCTGACCAAGGTCTAATGCATCCCACTGAGGTGGCTCCCTGCCACATCCCCCTCTGATCCTCATATCCCTTTTAGAGTCGTGGAGCATCAGTTTGGTCCATACATTTGTATTTTCAGAGCATCATAAAGTGAGCTGTGTTTTTTTTCTTATCCATATTTTTTTTGTTGTTGTTGTTTTATTTTGTTTTTTGTTTTTTTGAGGGTGGAAATGAATCCTCTGAGGGAATCAGGAGAGGAAGGATCAGACAAGACAACCTCCCAGAATTTGAATTCCTTAAAGATGGAAAACTATGCTCCAAAAAGTCACTGGCATTCCAGCCCTTCTTTGATGTTTAAAGATGTAGTTAATTAGGATCCAGGAGACCCTTCGATCTGTTCACATCTTTCACAGGAAAGAATTGCAAGGTGGTTCTGGGACCATTTATAATAGATAAATGCAATACATCCTCTGTCAGAGAGCCAAAGGCGTATGAATAGATGCTTTTGCCATATTATCAGTCAGCTGGAACTGTGGCAGTCAGACCTACTGCAACGACTCGGGCATAAAATAGTAAAACAATAAAATCAAGGTTTCAGCACATAAGGAAAATAAGCAAGAACAGTTTTTTCAGGTAGTCTAATCCTTCAATTCCCACTAGGAGCAGGCTGGTTAGCCACTGGGGTAATCACACTCCCACCAGGAGCAGGATGGTTAGCCACTAGGGTAAATACACTCCCACCAGGAGCAGGCTGGTTAGCCACTAGGGATAACCACATTCCCATCAGGAGCAGGCTGGTTTGCCACTGGAGTAACCAGGGGGAGGTGTCCTTCTCTGGAGTTACAGCTTGGCCACTGCTCTCAATTTACATGAGAGCATTGGGTCAGAAAGGCATTCCTACTTGGGAGAAGCTGGCTTCATTCTACTGTGGTTGATCCAAGAGATCCCCACGGCTTCCTTTATTGCAATGGGAGTGGACTGCTGATAAGCAAGCACATCCATCAAGGATTCCATTCGGTTGTTTGTTTTAGTTTCAGCTTTTGCAAAGGGATCCTGTGCCTTACTCCTAGTTGTTAGAGTTTGGCCTCATACTTTTATATGGTTAGCTATTCTTTTAAAAGTGTATTTTAGTTCTGAAATTAAAATGTAATTACACCATCGCCCTCCATCCCTTTCTGACCCCCAACCCTTTCCATGTACCCCCCCTTGTTCTCTCTCAAATTCATGGCCTCACTTTTAGCTGTCATTATTTACAGGGTGGGGAGACTTCTCAGTCCACATAATTCGAAATTTTTAAACAGTGTAGTTGAAAAGCAAAGTGCAATGTGAAAAAATACGGTGCATTCTGATTTTGCAAGTGCTAACTCGGGGAGGCATTTGAATTTCCGCTGAAGGGTTTCATCATCTCTTTTTTTTTTTTTTTTTTAAAGAAGTTTTGTCTTATTTTGAAAGGACCGAGCAGATGCCATAACAGGCCGCCCAGTCTTCTCTCAGAGATCAGGCCTCAATTTCCTGAGACTGAGCAAGCAGTTTCTGAGAGAGCCATGGACAAAGACAATTATGCCCCTGTCAGTAGGGACAAGGGAGATAGAGCACACCAAGCCTGGGCCACTGAGCCAGCCCCCACAGTCAGCTAGGCAAACCAACCTCCACAGCAGCTCAAGGATAAAGCCAGGGATTTGTCCAGGCCTGCCCCCAAATGGATAACTGTAACCCCCCCCCCCCAACTAACCCTAGCCAATTGAAAGTTACTAACAAGATTGCCACTCACATAAACCAAGCCTGAGTCTGTTCCTATGTAGTCTGTAGACCCTCAGAGACCCCCCCTTGCTTTACCCCATATAAAAACCCTGCCCCATGGTTACTCGGGGTCTCTCCTGCTCTGCTGTTGCTTCTGACAGACTGAGAGGCCTGAGTTAACTGGAAACAATAAAAAGACTCTTTGCTTTTGAGTTGGATTTGGTCTCTTGGTGGTCTTGGGGGACTCTGGGTATAACAACTTAAAAGTCCCTGAAGAACCTTGTATTTGTCTTCTCTGAAACAATATTATGAAGAATAAAATATATCTTTCACCAAGCATACAAATATCGCCTTTTTCTTGTTGTTAAAATCTTATCAGGTGGGTTTCTGTTTTATCTAGCTGTTTGGCAGGTGGCATCTAGCTGGCTAGACAGTCCTTTAAAGGCATCTCAGATATAATTGATAGATTTTTGCTGATTATTTAATATTTTTATGTAATTATTGACCAATAGAACATAGTTTATTTGAGTCTTGTAACGATGTGGCTTTTAGCCTTAGATTCATTTGGAATGCCCCTAAGAACATCTCTAGAGTCAATGCAGGCATCAAAGGGCCCAGTTATTGACTTCTTAGTCCTGGGTAATAAAGGCCAGAGTGTTGGAGGAAAGAGCGTCACTTTCTTCGGTGGTGTATCCACTAATAAGTCGCCCTTGCTCTAACAGATTACCTTCTACCCAGGCTTAGGCAAGGACACCTCAGATTAAAGTAGTTCATCATATGCAAAAGAGAAAGCCAAATGGGGAGGGCCCTGTGGGCTCCAGCAGAAGAGAGAAGAGAGGGGGTGAGAGAAGGAAACGGATGAATGAAAGTGTCAAATAATAAGAAATTTAAAAAATGTTTAAATTAAATAGCTAAATCCTCATAATCAAGGTAGCTTGTAACCATTGATAAATATTACAAAATATAAAATATTTATTCGTAATAAGTTGTGACCGGGGAAGGAATAATTATATATCAAAGATTTTGAACCTACCAGAAAAATCCAGCTCAAAAATTTAGTTTTTTCCAAGTTAAATATACAGATTTCTTCTTTTTTAGCTTTAGGGTGTATAAATAAACTACATGTAGTTTTTTTTCTATTGGTTTGTTCTTAGAATTTATTGTGTTATATACTTGCTCTCAGGAGCAGCCTCCTCCTGATATACAGGATTTTCAGATGAAGAATGTTTCTCTTCCCAAAGCGTAAGCTGGTTGCAGTTTTCCAGCTTCACACCAGCTGCTCCATTTTTCCCCTGCAGAAGCCCATCAAGCTGTCTGCTGTGCCCCAGTGAACAGCTGGGGTCTCGGGGAACCCACTTCTCTTCAGTTTGCGTTGCATCCTCCCCAACAGACCCAGCAGCTGGAAACAGGTCTGATACTTTGTTCTGTATGCTAAAAATCTGCAGACGACTTAATTGATGAACCTAACACAGTTTGTTGCACTGGAGGTCCCACATGAGGATTTGGATACCTATCCAGACTGAGACAGTCTGCTCAAAAAAATTTTTTTTAAATGACTTGACAATATCATACCAAGAAACAGAATACAACTAAAGCCAAATCTTCAAATGCACATAACCACCAGTTCTTAAAAAAAAAAATGTTATATGTGATGGGCGACATGTGTGTGGTATCCTTGACATTTTATTCAGCTTCTCCCACCCTATACTTTCCCCCCCCAAATTATAATCTAGAATTTAAAAAAAAAGAAGCTTTTAAGTTATTTTGAGTCTGTTGAAAACAAAGGAACACTGTAACTTCAAGGGATTTGAATTGACTGTGGCAGACTGGGAGTCATTTTTTTTCTTTAGTATATTACATCGCCGACTATGAAATCTTCATTTGTAGTCGCTCCCTTGGGATTCACTGACAAGCAGAAACAAGTTTCCTGATCAGCGTGGTGGAGCATGAAATGCCTATAGAAGCTGAGAAAACGCCTATAGACTTAGCAACTGTCATTTGTCATCACTTTCTTCTTATGAAGCAAATGTTAATGAATTTAAATGTTTACCCTTGGAGCGGTAAAGTGCTTCTGAATACACATGAAAGATGATTATTTCTCAGGAAAAGAATGCTTTTTTATATACTTAATTACTTTTTAAATAAACTGGACCTAAAGGAAATTCTTTCTTAAATTTCAGAATGAAATTTGGGTGCATATTTTAATGGCTAAAAAACCATTAGATGTTACTTTTGCTAGAAGTTTCTTTGCTGGCTGAAAGTAAGAATTAGTAGCTCAAAGGGTCTAAATGGCCTAAATCACGGTTCTTGTTCTCCATCAGGCCAGGGAAATAAATTCTGTGACTTGTTGGTTCATATGAGTTCATTACTGAAACCTGGAAAAATAAGAAAAGTTTTCACATATAAGACAGAAGCCTTTAGTTCTGGTAACTAGAAAATGTTTGGTTTGTTTTTTCTTTTGTCCAGAGTCTACTGCCATCCCTAATGTATTACACTGAAAAGTGTTATGGATCAGGACTCCATATTTCCACCCTTCACCATGTGTGTTAGTCTGAAGTACCTAAGAAAGAGAAGCAAAGCATTGATGTACAAATGCCAATAGATCAAATTTTATCTCTCTGTTGTTTTTAAAAAGTTGATCCCTAATACCAAAACTCAGTCTTATACTACTGCTTCAGTACGTAATATTGATATTCTCTGGTCATTCTTGAATGTATCATTCATCCAATAAAAACTTACTGAGCTTCTAAAGTGCTGTGGTGCACTCTGGTGGTACAGCAGTAAGGAAGCGCAGAGTACCCCTGCACTCCACAGGCTCTCTTTCTGTTGTGAAGTGGCCATGTACTAGGAAAGACATCACAAGAGCACCGTGTATTACATTTAACAGCCATCGAATTTCATCTAATTTCCCTCTTGAAAATCTCTAGGGAACATGCTCTGAGAATTCTCTTTTAATATGAAAACTATGGGAAGTGGTTCCAGGCATATGCTGTGGGGTTTGGATAGTTTGGATGATGGGTCTTAAAATTCAACTCTCTTGTTTGAAAGAATGAAAATACATGGGTGGGGTGGGGGGACACTTCCCTGATGCTACTTGGTCACTTTCACCTCCGAGCCCACACTGCCCTTGATCAACTCAGCATCATGTGCCTTTCGTATCTGTTTTTATCTTTTCCTCTGTCTTCATCATATAGCTCCCATCTGCTGCCATCTTTATCAGACAACAGTCCCTTTGACTTCCTACCTCTTAAGGAACACTGAGATACTGTCATCTCAGAGATGGTGGCATATTGCTTTTCAGGTACAGGGCAATCTGAAAATTCATTTTATGGCTGCCATTAAAGCATGTTTTCAAAAAAAAATGCCAGGTGAGATCATGCATCCCTGTGATCATAACACTCAGAAGATGGAGGCAGGGGGTTGTGGGTTTGAGGCTTGAGGCCAGCCTGAATGGTGTAGCTAGTTAGACTCTATGGGAAGAAAAAGAGAAAGGGAGAAAGAAGAAAGAAAGTGAGATGGCGGAGGAAAGAAGAAAAGAGAGAAGGAAGAGAAAGAAAGGGGAAGGAAAGAGAAAGAAAAGTAGGAGGGAAGGAAGGAGGGAGGGAGAGAGAGAGGTTGCAGAGGAAAGAGGGCAGAAACCATAAAGCCACAAGATTACAGCATTAGAGAGAAATTTCTCCTTCAGCTTACAATTCAAAGAGAAGGCTGAGTCAACACCTCTGAGAGATGTTGATTAAACCTTTGATTTTACTTCAATTGCCTCTAAAATAAGGAATTCAGGTCCCTACAATTCAGCCCGCTTTTTGTTAGGCATGTTGAGTATTCAGAAACATTATTTGTTCAGATAGTCTTTTGAGCAACAAGAACTGATGTACAAGTGCCAGGCTTGGGACTAGAAGCACATGATGCAGTAGAGTAGGATTTGTCCTGACCTCTCTGTATTTATGTTAATTCAAAGGGCTAGATCACGGAATGGTTACATTCATGAGTTCTGGATTTGAATATGGCTGCTGCTAATTTCTGTGCTAGGAACCTCAAGGGAATCCAGTATTCATTTTTGGCATTGGTGTCTTCAGCTGTAGAATCAAGGCACTATGAGTTATTGTGAGACATGATGTGAAGGTCAGCTACCCTTCCTTCTATCTTCACCCTCAAACTAAAAAATGAACTTGGTCTTCTACTCACGAGCCCCAAGGCATTCAAAGATCTTCTAGTGTCTTTCTGAATCTGTACTTCCACAGCAAATCGTCCTAGTTCTTCTACTGGTCATAAGACATAATATCCAGATTTTTGACCATATTGGCAGCCCACAAAGTCCCACTCTAAGCGGAGAATCCAGAACTTACCATGATATCCCAAATATGGCCTGACAGGATTTGTCCTAATGTATGTCCAAAGTGATTTGTACACCATGCCTCAGAATCTGGAGATGACTTTCAAAGTCCACAAGACTGGCAGCTTATTTCACAGGAAACTGAGGTTCTGAAAGGAAGCAGAACTTACCCCGTTAAAACTGTTTGGCTAAGCTGCTTGATGTCATTTTTCTTTTTACTCTATTGCTCTGTACAAACAATCATCTGTTCCAAGACAGTTCACTCTGGCCAAACAGGCCATAGTACTCATAACTTCATGTTTCTAGGGAATCTGAGAATAGATCTTAGGTTTTTTTTTTTTTAATCTTAATTTTCTTAAAAGGTAAGCTTGATTTTCTCACGGTGTCATTTTCATAAAGATCTGAGCTAAGCTTCATTGAATCTGTCATGTTATACCCTTCATTATAGAATCACTGGTGTGTATGTGCGTGCGTGCGTGCGTGCGTGCGTGCGTGTGTGCGTGCGTGTGATCTTCAAATCTAAATATAATAATAGAAATAGCACATAATGCTCTTGAGTTTCCATGGCCAGGGCTCCATTTATCTAAATGTCTTGGGTTAAATTTGGATATGTCCAGAAAGGTAGGAATGGGTATGGTAATGGATAATAAAATAATAATTGCCTCTAGGAAATATTGGAGAAAGAGATGGAAGATAACCCTCTAGTTCAAAGTTGTGGGTCCATATTCTATTAGTTCTTCGCTCTGGACACACTGAATCAGAATCTTAAGGTTGAGGGAAAAGGGAGTAGAAGGCAAACATGTAAGCTTTGCAAAAAGAGTCCCCAGAGCTACTCATTCTCAGTTAGTGTTTTATGCCTTCATCTCCTCCTTATAGAGGAAAAGCAGAATGTACTTCTATGCAACCAAATGACAGTCAAAAAAGGAAGCAGAACAAGGGATCACTCTACAGTCCGTCAACAAGAAACGTTGTCTCTTGCAAGTCTTCTCGGTGCTTCATAACATGGTGACTTTTGGTGTCATATGGCAATAGAACACTTGCAGAGTGACATCACAATAAGGCTTGAGGTTTTCACAATGGGCCATCACCACTGGTTTCATAGTAGAATCAATGTCTGGGGACTTGCTAAGAAACTCCAGGCTGAAGGAATCCAGGCAGAGGAATTGTGTGGCTTCCCATGGAAAAGTCAAAAGCATTCCTCCTGGCTTTCTTGGCTACTAGCTACTTCTTATGTAAGAACCTGTCAAAGAACTCCAGGGAAGGAATGAGCATTTAATATTCCAGGGTGGGGGAGAAAATAAATAAGTACTCCTATTTAGATGTAGAAATTTTTGGAAACCTGAGTTTTTTCTCTGAGATGAAGAATTTAAGATCTTAACCATAATGGATATGCGTGGTTAACTCCATATTTGTCCTTTTCTTTTTAATATTCCAAGAGATCTACCACAGACAGCTTTAGACTCAGGTTTTTAAGCAATGGCCTTTGAGGACCACAATCAATAGATGTGAGATAATCTGGCCTCTGTGTTGACTGTCAGTGTTTGTTTCACTCTTCTTTCTAGTTCTTTCTCCTTGACTTTTAGAGTGTGTAGCTAGTGTGCGTACACAAAGCATTCTGAACAGAGTAGCATCAGCTTTGGAAATAGCATACTATTAAAGGTCTATGGATGTTAAGATCTCTGAACTTCTCAGCATGAACCTGACAACAATAGAAGCAGATGGTGTGATTTGTCATATAATTGGGAGAGCAGAGGGACAGGTGAAGGGATGTCCCAGAAGCAGTACTCGAAAGAAATCAAGGTTGTGAAGTAGATTGTAAACTATGAAGGTAAAAGAAGTGTTAATAATGTGGGTAACTACTGTCATAGAATTTCCACAAAAAGAAGCTTCCTTATCAACAGGTAGAAAATATATAGAGAGAAAGATTTTATTAGAGAGAAATAACCAATGAAGGTGGTGTCTACAGTGTCTGTCTACAAACAGCTAGGATGATATGAAGAATTCATCCTTTCTCTAAAACAAATCTACTCAATACCTGTGTATCCCAGTAGTATATGACATTGCTGAGTCCCTGATGATGAAGCTTGGGTTTATGTCCCCCCCCATCCCCCCCCCGCCCCCCACCTGAGGTCAGCACTAAATCTAGGAATAGATTAAGGCTGAGTTTTCAGACAAAATATTAAGGGTCGTTTAAAAGAAATATTCTTTTATATGTTTGAGTGTTTTGCCTGTTTGTATGTCTGTGTCTGGTGCTCATGAAGGCCAGAAGAGGGTGTCAGATCCCCTGGAACTAGAGTTACAGATGGTTGGGTGTCGCCATGTAGATGCTAGAAATCGAACCCAGGTCCTCTGTGAGAGCAACAAATGCTCTTACCTGCTGAACCATCTCTCCACCCCAAGAGGGTCTTGAACAAGAAGAGAGAAAGGAAACAAATGTGGGGATGAGGCATGTTTCGTAACTCTGTGTTAAGGAGACAACTTTCTCAGTTCTATGGTCAATATTTATGTGACTGACTTAGTGAGCATTTCAACACCTCATTGTTTTATTAGATATTTTAACATTTTTATTACAGATGTCATTGGTGACACATCACCTCAGGTAAGTTCACTTCTGTATAATAATAATTTTCCACTCTTGTAGTTTCTTTTATTTTAAACCATATGGAATAGTCAGCATCTGGCTGTTTTCAATCTTCATGATGTCGGTTTCATAGGATTCCGACTCAGTATCACTGTCAAAATCAATCCTGGGGATTGATCAGACACTCTCATACCCCTTTACCACTGGCAAGGGAAGTTCTTAATTTTTCCCTCTTCAATGTCTTCTTTCTTATTCCTATCTCCACTGACTCCCTTACAGTCAACCTGCTTCAGTACTGGCACACCACAGCCACCTGCTTTAGAAAACAGGGTTTTGCCGGGCGGTGGTGGCACACGCCTTTAATCCCAGCACTCGGGAGGCAGAGCCAGGTGAATTTCTGTGAGTTCGAGGCCAGCCTGGTCTACCAAGTGAGTTCCAGGAAAGGCACAAAGCTACACAGAGAAACCCTATCTCGAAAAACCAAAAAAAAAAGAAAGAAAGAAGGAAGGAAGGAAGGAAGGAAGGAAGGAAGGAAGGAAGGAAGAAAGAAAGAAAGAAAGAAAGAAAGAAAGAAAGAAAGAAAGAGAAAGAAAAAAGAGAAAAGAAAAGAAAAGAAAAGAAAAGAAAAGAAAAGAAAAGAAAAGAAAAGAAAAAGCAGGGGTTTCTTGGAAACAAAATGTGCTCCCTCCTCCTGCTCCCTTTGTAGCTGCTTTTTCCAGGTTGCTGCAAAGTTCAGTGGTTACAGCAGAAGCCAGAGAGCTGAAAAACTGCAACATGTTTACCACCTAGATCTCAAGAGAAAACGTTTGCCAACCTGTTTTAATCTTGAGAATGGAATCTGCACAACATAAACCTAAGTGAAATGTCTTTCTGCTTAAAGCAGTGACTCCTAGTGTTGCTAGGATGATGTTCTGCATGCTTCACAGTGCTTTTTCTTCTCTCCGAGAGACACCCCACCTATTTTTTCTAGATTCTAGTTAACAATGTTTGGGGACACATGCTATTTCAATTTGTGTTATTGAGTACATAATTTTATCTAATTTTTTAATTTTGGGTAAAATTGCACACATGAATAATGTATTCATATCATCCCCTCTCCCCCCAAACCACAGGGAAACATTGTCTTATAAATTTACTTAAAATACATATACTTCTCTCTAATTAAATATTCTTGTGGAGGCCAAAGAGATGGCTCAGTGCTCAAGAGCACTGGCTGCTCTTCCAGAGGACCAGGTTCAGTTCACAGCAACCATTCTTAACTCCAGTTCCTGGGGATTCACCACACTTTTCTGGCCTCCAGGGGCATTAGACATGTATTATATATATACATATATATATATGTGTGTATATATATGTATATATATGCAAAACACTCATATGCATAGACTAAAAATAAATCTTTAAAAAAATATTTTTCTTATGCCTATATACAACTTTAAATGTCACTTTTGCATATTTGAATGTCCCACTAAAGCATCAGTTCTTGGTAGACTCTATCAAACATATCATTCTGACTTAATCACTGAAAAAGAAGATAGAAACAGTATTTCCCTAAGAGAAGTTGAGTAGTGTAATTATTTTACTTAATATGATAATGAATATCTTGTTTTAAAAATTACTGATATCCTTTAATGTTTTAAAAAAATGTAACCACAACTTCAAATTTATTATTGACAATTATGCTTAAGGAAAATTCTTGCAAAGTTCAAAAATTGTCAACTTAAAGAAAAAATATTTTAAAGAAATACATCGCACGAACTTGGAAGGAATCATGAAAGAAGTGACTGAAGCTTAGGCAACAGCTCTGTAATGGGAGGCACCGGAGGCACCGGAGGCACCGGAGGCACCGGAGGCACCGGAGGCTTCCCGAGCACAGGAACGCCTGGTGTGCTGTCTACTGCATGTGAATGTTCTGTGATCTCCACTACTAGAGTGAGTCAGTGCTACAGTACCTGCCTGATCAGTGCACTACATCGTGTTCTTCTGACTTTCTAGCCTTCCTTCTTCCTGTAGATACTCCAGTACTCACTACACAATGTTCTTCTGACTTTCCAGCCTTCCTTCTTCCTGTAGATATTCCAGTACCCACAATACTCCAGGGAAAGCTTATATCACTTTATGCTGAATTTAGGAATACAAATAATAGATAAATATTAGAATGATTTGACCATCACAACTCCTTCCCTATCTATTCCAGAAACCTAATTCCCAGAGGCCTGAACTACAGCCAGTGTTTGGGATAAGAACAAATACTGTATTCTGTTCCAGAAGCTACAGCTAAAATATGGCTTTGAAGAAATAAAACCATTGCCACAACAACTATAAAATGCTCAGTCCTTCTTATTATTTCTTCCAAATGGTTCTCTTCCCTTCTAACAGCAAGGGTCTTCCTGTACAGCAAGGGTCTGGGCTACATGGCCTCAGTAACCTTACAAAATGCTAATCCCAAAGGTACTGCTTGCTGAATTTATCAAAGCATAGTTTTGATACTTGAGGTTTAAAAGGGAGACATTTTACCATTGCTCTCCTTTGCATGAAAGAAAATACCCAACACTTTATGTTAGAAGTCGTTAACAGATCATTGGGGGATAGAAAGTTTAACCTGTGAGTTTTGTTTTAGGTCATTTCCTGCAGTCATTATCAAAAGAAGTCTGTGCAGAAGAAACGCGTATGTTCCATAAGAGTCAGCCCATTGTGTGCTTCTAATAATGTTACATATCCCAATTTCTGCGTGTACTGTTTCATCAACATGTAAGTTGACACGACACCCAAATCAGAACCCCTTAGAGAGTCTAATGTGTACCTGACTCATAACAGTTGACTGATATTTACTATTTTGAAAAGTGCACATCAGTTACTGGAGATATGATTCTGTAATCTTTGGTAGGTCTGAACTGGCTGAACTTGAGGGTTGTGAGTGATGGAAAGAATTGAAATGGGTACTGTGTCTCACCTCCATGTTCATAAGAGAAGCTTTTCTGAATATGCTTTGAATATTAGTTTTACTAAGAGAATAGGTGTCAAAAGTTATCTTCAAAAAATGTTTGAAAAAAAATCACCCTTGGCAAGATCAGACCAAAGCAAGAAGTCTCAGTATTCCAGGTCAGAAGGCTTTAGGATGAGTCCTGTCCCTGTGGTAAGAGAGGTTGAGAAGTCTCCTGATTCCTCAAACCTCAGGTTCATACCTCCACTCAGTTTTTTTTTTTCACTCACTCCTTATGCTCCAGCCACACTAACTCTTCTCTCCAGTTACTTTCAAATGTATGGAGCCTTGTTACTGTTTTTTAAACTGTGGACAAAATTTTCCCCTCTCCAAGAGGATTTCCCCAGGGCTATTGCTTCTTTTTCATTTGTACTTCAACCTAAATCGATTTCTTTTTTAAGTGGTAAATCTACCTTCCCAGAGAAAAAGAGTCTTCCCTGAATACAGGTACAATTCACCTCTGGTGTTTTTCATATTAGATCATAACTTTTTTCATAATATATGTAGTCCCCCAATATTTTAATTTTCTGTTTCATATTTCTAATCTGTTGCCATACATAAGCTGCATAAAGTAAAAAATGATCTATTGTAGCATGAATCCTAAAGGGTCTTATTAATAAAAACAAACCTGAAGCCTGGTATTAGGGTGAATGCTGGAAGATCAGAGAACAAGCCACAGCTATCTCACCTCGCCAATTCCTCAGCTAATTTTGTTTCCTCAGACTGGAAGCCTCTCATTCTTCATCCAGAATGAATCTCAGCTGAACTGTTGCTCAAAAGCCTAAAAGCTTAACCAGGTCTAGTTCCTGGTCCTCATGCCTTATATATCTTTCTGCTTTCTGCCAACACTTCCTAGGATTAAAGATGTGAGTCACCATGCTTGGCTGTTTCCAGTGTGGCTTTAAACTCACAGAGATCCGGATGGATCTCTGTCTCCCAAGTGATAGGATTAAAGGCACGTGTGCCACCATTTTCTGGCCTCTATGTCTAGTGGCTGTCCTGTTCTCTGACCCCAGATAAGTTTATTAGGGTGCACAATATATTAGGGAACATAATATCACCACAGTCTATTGCTAGATTTTATAATAAGTGCTTGCTAAACAAACTAAGAAACTAGATGCTTCTCAAGAGTGATTATAACAATGAGTATAAAATTCACTTCAAAATTTAAAGCACATTTTTCAGCATTTCTTTAAAAAATGTTATCACTTGACATTTTGCTTCAGTCTCTCAAGACACATTGTTAGAAGTAAAGACTCTACTATGAGAGATGTTGGTTGTGATCTCGGTTTATGTTTAAATTATGTGGTTTAGGACATCTTAATCACATGCATGCCCCCAGAGATTGGCTATGTTCATTGAAAAGATAATACCTAAAGAAGGCTTAGCATAGTGGGCCTTAGTAAATAACAGCCTACATGACTTGTGGTGGCTGCCAGCTGGAGACACAAGTATCCTGGTTTTCTCGGGACTAAGGGTTTTCTTGGGGTATGATGCTTCGACCAAGGATGGTAAGAAAAACCCAGAATGGTTGATCGCTTATTGTCAGTTTGTCTTCACAACCAGTGCGGCTATTGCTCTTTCTGTATTTACTGACTCATTCAGGCCAGTTAAACCTGTTCTACAGTCTTCTCCTACAGTGCTAAAGTATCTTCTTGATGATCACAAGGCTTCATTTCTCAGGTTTTCAGGATAATTCAATGACATGTATAGGAAGTCCTTTGAAGAACTAAGTGCATGACTGTTCTTCTCCTAAACTTAGTATTGACCCTCCACTTCTGTCCTATGTTCAGATTCACTGTCTAACCTCCTCTCCTGAACCTCAAGGGCAGTGGCAAATAAAAACCTCTTAGGCTTAAGAACTTAAAATTTAAATACAATACACTTTAAATTTTAATATACTAGTAAATAATAAGTCCCATTTCTTAAAGGCTACTACTGCTTGATCTCAGGGCAATCATTTAATCTGTCTGTCTGTCTATCTATACAATCATCATCTATCTATGTATTTTTCTTTTATTGAAATAGATTCTTTTCTCATACAATATATCCTGACTATAGTTTCTCCTTCCTCTACTCTTCCCCACCTCACCTCCCCTCCGGATCCACTCCCTTTCTGTCTCCATTAGAAAAGAACAGGCTTCTAAGAGATAACAGCCAAATGTGACAAAATAAAATACGATAAGATGAAGCAAAAACTATCATACTGAAGTTGAGCACAGCAGCCCAACAGGAGGAAAAGAGTCCCAGGAGCAGGCACAAGAGTCAGAGACCCACTTATTATCACAGTTGGGAGTCTCACAAAAATACTAAGCTAAAAGCTGTAACATATACAAAGAGGACCTGGTGTGGAACCCTGTAGGCCCTGTGCTTGCCGCCTCAGTCTCTGTGAGCTCATATGTACCTTGCTTAGTTGATTCAATGAGCCACGTTCTCTCTGTGTACTTCATTCTTTCAGGCTCTTAATATCTCTGTGGAATTCCCTGAGCTCTGAAGGGATGGGTTTGATGGAGACCACCCATTTAGATTCTCTCTCTGCACAGTGTCAGGCTGTGGGTCTCAGCATCTGTACCCATCTGGTGCTGGAGGAAGCCTCTCTGATGATGACTGGATAAGGCACTGATCTATGAGTATAGCAGAATATCATTAGGAGTCATTTTATTGATTTTTTTTTCTGACCAATAGCGTCTGGTTTTACCCTAGATCTCTGGGCTATCTAGTCTCTGGTTCTTGGATACCCTAATAGTGTAAGGTATGGGGGTTCCTTCTCATGGAGTGGGACTTAGGTCAAATCAGGATACTTTCCATAAAAAAGAAATCAAGCCCTCCAACCCTGGACGGCTAGCACTTGGAAACTTCTAGCCTAATATCTGCCTTTACCTTTGACCTATTCGACAATTTCTATAAATGAAACTATATGAAGCCTTTAATTTCTGGCTTTTGGTTACTCGGATGAGTTTTTCAAGACTCATCTACACCATAGGGAACATTAATGTCTTGTTATGGCTGAATAATATGACAACTGTATTTACTCTTTCATCCATTTATGGACATTAAGTTGTCACTTAGGGCCAATGTGAATAATTTTGCTATGATTTTCACATACAAACATGTACTTAGACATATACTGTTGATTTTTCTTGAGTATAATTCTATGAGTAGACGTTTTAGGGAGCATATGGTAAGTTTATGCTTAACATTTTCAGAATCATCAAACTGTTTTCAAATCAGACGTAATGTTTTATAATGCCACCAGCAAGATACCTTTACCAATGCTTGTTATCACCCATTATTTTGATGATAATCATGCCAATGGGTAGGAAGTGGTACCTGACATTATGTCTTGTATTTCCTTAATGACTAATGATAGGTATTATTTCACAGACTTAATAGTCATTTATATGCTTATTCTGACTCCTTTCTTACTCTCTCATCATATCAGTGTTTTTACAGTACAATTGCAAGTATCCTTTATTATGGGTACAATTTCCATAAACTATGTTGAACTTCAAATCTTTTCTCCAATATGAGGGTTGTCTTTTCATTTCACTAACCATGTCCTTTAAGACACAGAAGATTTTAATTTTGATGAAATACAACTGAACTATTACTTGTACTTTGGGGGTCATTGCTTAACTCAGGGATGTGAAAATTGACTAGTATGTTTTAATCCAATAAAAGAGTGATGGGTTCTACTTCTAAGTCATTGGAGGTTTATTTTGAGGTTTGGTTTTGCTTTTGTTTCGGTTTGTTTACCGTGATGAGGATTGAAGACGCTAGGCATTATGAGATTTGGACATTTAATTGTTTCTGAAGCTTTTGCACACATATATACTGAATATTGAGCCTGTTCTTCAATGCATTCTCTGCTTCCCTGTCCTGGCCCTTTGTCCCCTAGATGTTTCACTTGTGTTTTCATTCCACACATGCATATATACATGACTTGATGTGCATATGTAAAAACTACGAACTATCACTGAGAAAAAGCATAGAGTGTTTGTCTGGGGTTGACTTCATTTCCTTAATATACATTTTTTTTTCAGTTGCATTCATTTTCCTGGCACAGTTTCATTTCTCTGTGCAGTTTATTTGGGTTTTGCGTGATGCTGACATTATTAGGGCATTCAGCTTTATTGTTTTGTACGCGAACACCCAGTTGTCCCAGAAAACATGGTGAAAAAAGCCAATTCTTCCCTTCATTGAGTTGTCTTAGCAGTTTCATTCAAAATAGTTTGGCTGTAAATATTCCATTTCTGAACTCTCTGGTCTTCCAGTGGGTATGCTCTCTGTCCCACTACTTTGCTGCTTCCGTTACTGTAGTTTCTTCTCTGTGTTTGGAATTAGGAAGATGGGGCCCTTTGTGTTGCTGTTTCGGCTTATTTGGTTATTCTGCACCCTGTGCTTAGGAAGCAGTAGAGATGTTTTCAAGGAATAATTCCCAGATGTCAGCACCAGAGCTCCGAGAGTAAATACTGGGGAAAATGAAATATTATAACAATACCTAGCTTCCATACTTGATTGTGTATTTATAGTTAATATTTTCTGAGAAGCACTTGGTTATGCCAGTGCCGCTGTGTTGCTGCAGGTAACAGGGCGATGAGTGTCAGTGCTCCAATGCCTGTTACTGGCAAATATTTCCCACGCTATTTTTCAGAGTCTTTAGCATCTCTTCATGCAGTAACGAGATTACAAAGTGCAGTGTTCTCAAATAAAACGGGCATCTGTCACCATGGTGGTGCCACTTAAGGGACCATGCCTGTGGCGTGCC